TATAGCCCTGACTAGATGACCCCACTATTCTTATTCTAACCCTAACATTCGGAACCCTGGGAAGTACACCCTCAAATTACTAACCCTACTCCAGTGAACCCTACTCAAAATAGCCCTAATCTGGTGAACCCTACTCAAAATAGCCCTAATCTGGTGAACCCTATTCAAAATAGCCCTGATTGGTCTTTGTATAAACATAAAATAATGTATCATCACTTCTATTGTTGTTATAATCATCCTATTTATACTCCAAGGAGTAGTTTTGATTTCTAAAGACCATATTTTCAATTAAATAATTGAATATATCTTTTATTATATTTATATTCGTCTGTACATATGTTACTGGGCTCTAAAATTCTATCATCCTAGTCAAAAAGAGGGTTAAAAACATTTTAATTTTAATTCAAATTAATATTTATACACCAAGAGAGAGAGTGAGATAGTCAGAAGAGTTTTTCATTAGGAATTCATTGAATAAATAAATAATAAATAATTAATTTATAAATAAATAAATAAATAAATAGATGAATTCATATTATAATGATACATTTCATTGACTCTAAAAACAATTTTTATATGAGTAATACATAGGAGGATTGAGGACGGGGACTTGGATAGGTGGGTGGCGGTCGGTGGGTTGTGTGGTGGCCTTTGCGTAGTGGCCAGGCGTCAGAAGGACCGTGCATAACCGGGCCTGGACTTCGGTCCGGGCTCTGGACTTCTCGTATTCCTAACCCTAACCCTAACCCTACCCCTCGTACCCCTCGTACCCCTCGTACCCCTCGTACCCCTCGTACCCCTCGTACCCCTCGTACCCCTCGTACCCCTCGTCCCCCTCGTACCCCTCGTACCCCTCGTACCCCTCGTACCCCTCGTACCCCTCGTACCCCTGCAAAAAATAAAAATAAAAATAAAAATTAAAAAAATTAAAAAAATTTAAAATAAATGTATTTTATTATTTTTCTGAATACAAATTATTAAACTCTTGACAATAAAACAAAAATGCATTAAAATCAATCAACGGTATAAATAAAAGTAAAAACAAAATAAAAAAAGACAAACAAAACAAAAAATAAAATACATTAAGTCAATCAACAGCAAAAATAATACATTAATACAAAAATTAAAATAAAACAATAAAAAATCACATTAAAAGTCAATCAGCATAAATACAAATAAGACAAAATAAAAAAACACAATAATTTTAAAAAAATTAAATAAAAATAAAATAAAAACACATTAAGTCAACAACAGCATAAATAAAAACAAGAAATTAAAAAAAATAAAAAAATAAATTAAAAAAATACATTAAGTCAATCAACAGCATAAATAAAAATAAGACATAAAAATAAAAAATAAAAAATTAAAAATAAAATTAAAAAATATAAATTAAAAATAAAATTAAAAAATACATTAAGTCAATCAACAGCATAAATAAAAATAAGACATAAAAATAAAAAATAAAACAAAAAATAAAAATAAAATTAAAAATTTATAAGTTAAAAAAAAAAATTAAAAAAAATACAATAAATGTCAAACAGCAAAAAAAAATAAAAATTTACAATAAAACAGAAACACATGGTCAATCAACAGCATAAATACAACACATTCACATCTAATTCACATCTATACATAAGGGTAAAAAATAAAATGAGCATCAAGTTACAAGTAAACTTACAAAGGAAATAGAAATATACAAAGGAAATAGAGCTATACAACAGTACTAGAAGAAATCAAAAAAAAATTGAAAACCGTAATAAAAAGAGGCAGCGGATGATTGGCAGCTTAATGATGTGGAGCTGGAGAGAGCTGTGACCAAGGCAGGTGCTGACAGAGGGAATCACAGTGGAGATAATGGACGGAATGTCGAGGCAGAAAATGGCAGGAAGCCCCAACAAGGTCACAAGGATGTAGGGCCATAGCACAATAGATAAAAAGATAGGTGGACCTTTGGTAAATGGGCCAGGCAGAACCCAGGGGATAACAAAAAGAGATGAGGATCTAGGCAGAGCTAACCCAAGGCAAGACCACTGCACTGCAGGACAGAGGCAGAACCAGAGGGGTTGAAGGAATAAGGCAAGACCCCCAATACAGCTTGAGAGATAACTGCCCATGGTGGAACAGATAGGTCGACAGAGTGAAAGTTAAGTCCAGGGCTTGGCACAAAGACAGAGGATCAACACCTAGGCAGAGCTGGTAATCTGGAATACAAAGGTTGACCCAAGGTGCAATGAAGGATGAGCCAAAAGGCTGCAAGGAGCCAGCAGACACAGGCCCCATTAAATAGATGACATGGGTAGAGGAGGCAGGAGGAGCATCAATGAGAGGCTTCATGCTGAGTGAGAAGGACATCAGACTGGACTGTTTAAACAGCTGGAGGGACCAGCCAACACAGTATAATGGGTTTAAAAAAAAAGATTATAACCTGACAAGTACTTTAAAGTCATTTTGAAAATTTTTAAAAACTAAAATGTAAACAAACAAAACAAAGAGCAACAAAATACAAGACAAGTTTACAACTTGCATACAAAGCTTTACAATATAAGAAGGGGCAAACAATGGCATAAAAGGTAACAGATAATGTAAGAAACAAGTTAAAACATATTTATTAACAATAAAAACAATGCTTTAAAAATAAAGAACACAATTCAACCCAGAACAAAATTCAAACAGGCTGAATGAAATAGCAGCATTGGGTACAAATAAAAATGAGCACAAGAACATAGAGATGAATCAAAGCAGAAAAAGGGCGTATAAGACAGCCACTAATGCTAACATACAGAAGACAGTCAGAATATGAACGGGTACATACATTTACAAAATACAGAAGACAGTCAGAATATAAACAGGTACATACATTTACAAAATACAGAAGGCAGTGAGATTATAAACAGGTACAAACATTTACAAAATACAGAAGACAGTCAGAATATGAACGGGTACATACATTTACAAAATACACACAGTAAAGGCAAACCTTAAAAAAAGTACATTAAAATACAAAATAAAACTGTTTCAGAAAAATGGGCGTAAAACAGCACAATGGCTTACAAGACAAGGAGCATAAATTAAAGATATACGGAAAACATTCAATCATAAAAGCCAATAAAACTAAAATAGGCTTAGGGAAAATGCAAAGACAAGAGCAGTGATCAATACAAATGCAAAGATGGGAAGAATGCACAAATACAAAAAGGGCCATTGAGACCACGATAAGGACATAAGTGCAGAGACAAAACTAAATTTGTAATAGCCTTTATGCTCCTTTAATCAAACACCACAAGGAAAAAATATGTAAAAATCATCACTACAACAGGGCACTAAAAAGGGACTTAACTGGCAGAGGCATAAAAGGCAAACAGCGGGAATATAGGAATGCAAAGGAAGAATAATCTGAGACGTGCAGCTTTTACGCTTGAGAACTTTATTTTGTTCTGTCTTAGAATAGGTTAGACAACACCATAAAGGGCACAGAACAAAAAGTTTAAATGGAAGTTAATAAATAAAATACTGTACAAAAGCGAAAAAGACAGACCGATTGAAATATAGAGGGCATAAAAAATATCCTTTAAAAAAAACCTAAAATGAACTGAAAAAAAATAAAAAATAAAAACAAGGTTAAACAATACAAAGTAGCAAAAATAAGTCAAGTGGACAAAGCTGCTTTTCAATAAAAAGCATTAAAGCGGTTAAGCATGGCAGAGCAAAAAGTTGTCAATTGAATTTCATGTGTGACATTAATATGAGTCAATCAACAGCATAAATACAAAATCATGCTCCTTTGACACTTTTGTATAGATGTTAATGATGTTAAAAGTAAACTTAAACAGGAATACAAAACTGTACAAAGTGAAACCACAAAAAAAGTTGAAAGTATTATGAACAAAAAGGCAAAGGAGGATGTAGAGCCAAAACAAAATCAATAAAAGGATAGGGGGGACCTTTGGTGAATGAGCCAGTTACAACTCGGTGGACAACCAACTCAGATGGAGCCATTAGAGATGGGGACCTGGGCAGAGACAAGACCACTGCAGGGCAATAACTGCCCATGGAGGACCTGATAGGGAATCAACCTAACTTTCACTCTGTCAACCTGTCTTTGTGCCAAGCCCCAGACTTATGGCGGAGCGGGTAATCTGAGGCCAAAGGTGGACTCAAGGTGCAAAGGGTAAAATGAAGGATGAACCAAAGGGAGTAGCCAACAAAGTAGCCAACAAACGCAGGCCACATTAACTAGATGACATGGGTAGAGGAGGGAAGGAGGAGCAGCATCAATGAGAGGCTGAGTGTGAAGGACATCAGACTGGATTGTCTATCCTGTGTTGGCCAGTCCCTCCAGCTGTTTAAGTTTTTGTGAGGTTTATAATCTGTTTGTTTATTTTGTGTTCCCGTTAAAGTAATTTTGAAAATGCAAAAAAAAGGTTACGATTCACAAATGGGGTGTTCCAAATTACACAAAGTGGTATATGGGCACAAGTAAAGTCATAAAAGAGTAGAAACACAGATTATGGTCCATATTTGTTTCCATGTTCTGTTTTTTAAAGCCTTTTGTTAACCCAAGTAAAAAAAGAAGAAATTAAAATGAAACAAACAAAATCAAGTGTAACAAAATACAAAAAGTAAGTTTACAACTTCAATACAAAGCTTTACAAAACAAGAAAGGCAAACAATAGCATATAAGAAAGGCAAACAACAGCATAAAAAGCAGACAGAAAATGTTAGAAACCAGTGAAAGATATATAATTTAAAAAATGGCTTAAAAACATTTAAAAAAAAACCTAAATTTACCATAAATGCAAAGACAGACAAAAAGGGTCATAAAATAGAAACGCATAATAAAAAAGGACAAGCTTGATCTTAAATGGAACAAGAGGCGAAACCATAAATACAAAAATTACATTTAGTACAATTATACTGCTCTCCTTGTGCGTTTCCATATGTGTGAACACAATTCAGCAGCAAGCCAAACTCCCTTCAAATAAAGACTGGAGTCAGGGTGCAGTTTTCCAAGAAAAACTCCTGATGTTTACTCCAATATGATTCAAAGAAGAGTGAAACTATCAAAAACAATACACAAATAAAGTGCTTTTAGAAACAGAATACAAAATATATACACAATATTAAGGTTAACAGAGCAGAGTTACCGGTTGAGCAATTGGTGTATAAAACAACACTTAATTATTATCAATATAGCATAGAAGATGTATAAAATATTCTCAATTTACACATTTAACAATGATTACTTACTGACAATGCTTTCGAAGGCATGAACATTAAAGAAAACTGGAGCAGCAGTCACATGGAGCTTAATGCTTGAGAGAGTTGAGCGAAACTGAAACTAAAATGGCTGCTCCCTGCTCAGTCAGGTAATTTTTCAAAATTAGAGTCCCAAATAAAAAACCTAAAATGCTTAGTCCAATTAACATAACACTCCCCGCATGACATCTATAAAGATGTCATCTATAATTATCTGTTTAAAGGTGTTTTTCTTATTTTCTAAGCAGGAGAATGATTTCAGATATAGGCCTCAAGAAAGTTTTGCTGGATCCTCCTTTAGTTACTTTAAGTTCAACTTTTCGAACCTTGCCATCTTGACCAGGGAAAACACTTGTGACGAGTGCCATAGGCCATTCATTTCGGGCTACTTGATTGTCCTTAAGTAGTACTATGTCGCCCTCCTGGATGTTTGGGTATGGATCCTGCCATTTGTGACGAACTTGCAGTGTTTGCAGATATTCCTGTTTCCAGCGACACCAGAACTGGTTGGCTAGGCTCTGTACTTGCCGCCATTGGCGTTTGTAGATGTCCTTTTCGGAGAAGTTTCCTGCTGGAGGTGGAGAACCTGCCTTTTGTGTTAGGAGCATTGCAGGGGTAAGTATCAAGGGTGAGTCTGCGTCCATAGAAACAGGTACTAGAGGTCTACTGTTAATAATGGCCGTCACTTCTGCCATAAGTGTACAAAGCACTTCATCAGAGAGGTTGGAGTGTCCTTCCCGCATCAGCATTGAGTCAAGAATTCTACGAGCCAGACCAATCATACGCTCCCATACGCCTCCCATATGGGAGGAGTGTGGTGGGTTGAAAACCCATGTGCATCCTTCGTCATTGATGTATCTTTGCACCTTGGTTTCCTTAATCACTTTGTGGAATTCAAGCTCGTTGCAAGCGCCAATGAAATTAGTTCCACAGTCAGAATGTAGTTGTTTTGCAGGGCCGCGGATCGCAAAAAACCTGCGAAGGGCATTGATAAAACTTGAAGAGTCCATAGACATAATGACTTCAATGTGAACTGCACGGGTGCTCATGCAGGTGAAAAGCACTGCCCAGCGTTTACTGTGAGCTTGACCTCCTCTTGTGCGGCGAGCTACCACTGTCCAAGGGCCAAAGACATCTAAGCCAGTGTAAGTAAACGGTGGTGACACACTTAGTCGTTCTGGTGGCAAGTCTGACATTTTCTGCATCTCTAGTTTACCACGCAGTTTACGACAGGTTACACATGCATGGAGAACACTGCTTATGCATCTCTTGCCTCCAACAAGCCACAATCCAGCAGCACGAACGGCCCCTTCTGTGAATATGCGGCCTTGGTGTTCCACGCGTTCATGGTAGTGCCTTATGAGTAACGTAGAAACGTGATGCTTGCCAGGTAATATGACTGGGTTTTTTTCTGGGTAGCTTAAATCTGCCAGTTTTAATCTGCCTCCGACTCTGAGTAGGCCATCCTCACCTAGGAAAGGATTCAGTTTTGAGAGTGGAACTTTGCTGCTAATGTTTCCTCCCTTAGAGAGTGTTTCAATCTCCTTACTGAATGATTCCTTTTGCACAGAGCGGATTATCACATTCTTGGCTTTTAACAGCTCACTTACATTGTGTGCTTTTGAACAAAGATGCCAACCGCTGCATGTATCGGATTCATTGGTGGATCTAGAAGAGCAAGCTACATGGATGAGCGATGCAATGGCTCTTTGTAAGGATTTCCAAGAGGAGAATCTCTGAAACCTGTCAGAGGTGAGTTGTTTCTCCTTCATTTCTGAGATGCAAGCTGTCACCATTGGCCTGATTTCTGCATCTGAATCTGGGTCCACAAGCGCAAAGTTATCTGACATAATGAAGTCATCTTCATGTGGCTCATGCAGGAATGCCGGACCAGTAAACCAGTTCGATTTGGCAAGCTGAGATGCATGGATTGATCTAGAAGCAATGTCAGCAGGATTGTGCTCTGTGGGTATGTATCGCCACTGCTTTGGTTCTGAAAATTGTCTGATTCTCTGTACCCTGTTGTGGACATAGACGTAGAAACGTTTAGTTTCGTTATAGATGTAGCCAAGTACAATCTTGCTGTCGCAGTAGAAGGTAATAGCATCCGGTTTGATGTCAATCTCTTGAACAATGAGTTCTGCCACCTCCACTGCTAAGACTGCTGCACAAAGCTCTAATCGGGGTATGGTAGGCTGGTTTTTTGGCGTCAGTTTTGCTTTTCCTAAGATGAAGCCAGTGCTGATCTGTCCATCTTCATCTACTGTCCTGAGATATGCTACAGCTCCTATGGCTTTTGTCGACGCATCAGAGAAAACACAGATTTCTTTGTGATTTGCCTTGGAATGAGAGTTGGGTGTGTAAGGACGAGGAATGTGAAGGTGTTGCAAGTCTTTCAATGAATGTGTCCATGATTCCCACTCACCGAGTTTCTCTTGTGGCAGTAGTTCATCCCAGTCTGTTCCTTCAATGGATAGCTTTCTGAGTAAAAACCTCCCCTGAATAGTGACAGGAGCCACAAGACCGAGAGGATCAAAGAGACTATTGATTACCGATAGGACACCACGGCGTGTGAATGGTTTGTCGTTGACTGATACTTTGAATGTAAATGTGTCAGTCGCAGTTTCCCAATTAAGACCAAGGCTGCGTTGTGTAGGCATAGTTGTACCATTGAGATCGAGATCTTTGATGTCCTTTGCGTGATCTTCCGTAGGGAATGCTTTGAGTACTTGTAGACTGTTGGATACAAACTTGTGCAGTCGCAGGTTTGATTCCGAGAGGGATGCTTGTGTTCTCTTTAGTAGGTCTATTGCTTCCTCTTCAGTTGGCAAGGAAATTAGTGCATCATCCACATAGAATCCATGTTCCACAAAGTGCCTGGTGTCTTGACCATGTTGCGGCACACCCTTCTCTGCGGCTCGTCTTAGGCAGTAGATTGCAACAGCCGGGGATGGGCTGTTGCCAAACACGTGGACTTTCATCTTGTATTCAACAATGTCCTTGTTAAGGTCATTATCACGGTACCACAGGAAGCGTAGGTAGTCTCTATGATCTTCTCTCACAACAAAACAGTGAAACATATGTTGGATGTCTGCCATCACTGCTACACACTCTTTCCTGAAGCGCATCAGGACACCAATGAGGCTGTTATTAAGGTCTGGTCCGGTGAGGAGCACATCATTGAGAGAGATACCTTCATATCGTGCGCTGGAGTCGAATACTACCCTGATCTGATCGGGTTTTTTGGGATGATAGACTCCGAATAGTGGCAAGTACCAGCATTCATTTCCCTTTGGTAGTGGAGCTGCAAGTTCTGCATGGTCACTGTCAAACAGTTTTTGCATGAAGGTAACAAACTGTTCTTTCATGTCTGGCTTCCGTTCTAGGGTACGTCGCAAGGAAGAGAGACGGCTTAGAGCTTGATCTCTGTTGTTTGAAAGAACTGGCCGTGGAGACCTAAAGGGAAGAGGTGCCACCCAACTGTTGGAGTTATCCTGGAAAACGTCTTTCTCCATAATCTTTAGAAATACTTCATCCTCGATGGAGAGTGCAGGCTTATTGTCGTTCTCTGATCTTTTAAATAGAGTCTGACCAAGATTGTCTGTGTTCATGTTCCAGTGGGTTTCGAAGTCATGAGCTGTATGCAAAGCTGTTAAGTTGCTGGTGATCTTTTCTTTAATGTGTACGTGACTTGTACAAGGAATAAACAGTGAGGGTCTTCCATTTTCTAAGATGTTCGTCTTGAAACATGAAACACTGGGCTTGTGCACATCTCCAAGGCATACTTCACCAACCAGCACCCATCCTAAGTCGAGTTTTTGGCCAAAGGGTGTGTTGTGTGGGCCGTTAATTTGCTTCCTCACTTTATGAACTCTAAGTATGTCTCGTCCAAGCAACAGTAGGATGTGGGCTTCAGGGTCCAGAGCTGGGATTTCAGATGCAATATGCCTGAGGTGAGGTTGATGGAGAGCAGCTTCAGGTGTTGGAATTTCATCACGGTTGTTGGGTATTTCGTCACATTCAATTAATGTTGGAAGTGCAAGACTAATTCCACCCTTTGCTGCTTCAATCCGATAACCATTTGCTTTTCTTCCTGAACACTCAATCAACCCAGCACATGTCTTTAGGCTGTAAGGAGATGCTTTGCTCTTAATGTTGAATATGTCGAAAAATCTTGACCTGGCCAGAGATCTGTTGCTCTGATCATCGAGCATAGCATACATTTTTACTGCATTTTCAGGATGCCCTTCAGGAAACACATTGACGAGACATATTTTGGAGCAAGATTTTGTGGAAAGGCCATGACAAACTTCAGTGCAAAGGGAGCTCACCTCTTGTGTTATTGGAATTTCTCTTGCATCCTCTCCGCCATGCAATAATGGAGGACTTTGGATTTTGGATGTCCATGAGGGTGGACCAGGATGCAGAGTTGAGTTGTGACTGTCACTGTTGCACTCATCACATTTTAGAATGACTTTGCAATCGCGTGCAACGTGTGATGATGATGAGCAGCACCTGAAACAGATCCCTTGCTCCTTTAGGTATGCTTTTCGTTCATCGATTGTTTTCAATCTGAAGCCTCGACATTTCCTTAAAGGGTGGGGTTTGTTGTGGATGGGACAGTGTTTGGCTGGATCATCTTTAGAAGGCTTTCTGTCTTGAGATGCACTATGAGAGACTTCGGTTTTGTGTACCAACACTGGCGTCTTGAAGTTAGTGTGTTTTACAGTGGGTCCTTCATATTGTGGTCGGCAACTACTGGAAAAGGCAAAGCTGGGATCGTTACGTGTTTTAGCATGATTGCAAATGAACTGAGTAAAGAACGAGAAAGGAGGATAAGTGACACCAAATTCTTCTTTAAACTTTGAGCCTTGAGAAATCCATTTCTCTTGTAAGGTGTATGGCAGTTTTTCAACAATGGGCCTGATGCCGCGAGCAGTGTCTAAGTAAGCTAAACCTGGTAGATAGCCGTCTTCCTTGGCTGAGAGCAGCTCCATTAAAAGATCTCCGAGCTCTCTTAGTTTGAGGTTGTCTTTACCTGAAATCCTGGGAAAACTGTCCAACTTCTTAAACAGTGCACTTTCGATTACTTCAGGTGAGCTGTAACATTCATCAAGCCTGTTCCAGACCATTTTCAAGGCTGTGTCTGGGTTTTCAATATGAACTGCCCTGAGACGTCTCACATATTCTGAAGATTCTTTACCAAGCCACTTTGACAACAAGTCTAGCTCCTCACTGGCTGTAAGACTCAAGTCTTTGATTGTGTTGATAAAAGAGGACTTCCAGGCTCTGTAACTTTCAGGGTGATCATCAAAGCGTGTTAAACCACTGCTCACCAGCTCACGACGTGCAAGATATTTCACTAGATCCATCATGCCTGAAGTTTCAGGGTGTTGTGGGAAATATCCTGATACGCCACTGCACTTAGGCCGTTGCTGCCATTTATTGCTGACTGGTATTTCTTTTGGCTCCTCTTTCACACTTCTTTGGAGTTTTATCTTTTGCAGTTTTGGCACTCTTGGAGGTGAAAATGAAGAATAAGCATCAAGTACGACATACTGGTTATCGTTCACATGCACTATATTTGGCTTAGTTTGAGAGGTTAACTGGTTCTGATCCGTTACTTGGTCTGGTTCAGATTCGCAATCGTGAGACTGATCAATGGCTAAGTCAGCCTGCTCACTGAGATATGTAGCTTGGTCCCTGACATAATCACAAACACGTTTTTCTGTGCTTTGTGCAGATGAAGAGTGACTTTTCATTTCATACAGCACATCATCCTCAAACTCTGCTGCTGCTTCTAAAATATCTGCTTCTGCACTAGCAGCTGCAGCCTCTTTTTCAAGATGCAGGGCTTCCAAGTTAGCTTGTAATCTGGCTGTGTCTACTTTAATTGCAATTTCTCTCTCTGCAAAAGTAACTCGTGCTCGTGCAGCCTCTGCCTTAGCTCTAGCACGTGCTGCAGCAACACCAACTGAAGATCTTGAGGAT